CACACAGCCTCTCCAAAGGCCCGCCCCAGCCTCACCTCCCTTGCTGGGTGGCGCGTCCCTGCTGCCAGGGCTTGTCAGGTTGCAATACCTGAGGCTGGGGAATGAGGGGGGATTACAGCATTCCCCGCCGAGCGCCAACCACCTTCGCCAAGAAGTTTGAAAACTTTGACTTCCACTAGTTCCCCTGAGCTGCCTAGAGCTACGGCAGTGGTGCTGCCAGCGGCTGCGCCGAGCCCGCACTTTGGGTAACTCAGTGTTTTCCTGAAAGCACCTGGGGGCCGACTTGAAGTCTGTATGACATTTAATATCTACCATAGATACACACAGGCGGGATCCTGCCACCAATGACTGTAGGAGGGTTCTGCTTCTCCTTCAGATTCAAATTGTTTGGGTTGTCAGGGCAGGCGTATTAGAAACACAGTGAAATTTCAATCTTTTAAAACAAATGCCTGTTTTGTTGTCTTAAAACAATAAAAACCTGTCCCTGATAAAGGCAGGAATACCAGCTTCCTCCTACAGCAGTTTTGGGGATAACAGTCTCTTAGGCATTTATAACAGACCGTATTAGTTGCACCGCTGGTATTTCCATGATTGTTTCCAATGACGCTATTAAATGCCATATACTTCAATATACCCTTCACAATTTTTGTTAAACATATATTTATATTTTTTTTTTAATTTTTTGAGTGTGGCACTTCTCCACTCGATGGCAAGGAAAAGTGTTAACAATAACGACATTACACAAAAGTACTGTACCATTGCCTTTTTAGGGTTTCAGAAACCTCTACAGTTAATAAGTTAAATAAAGGGGTTGTACATAAATATTTGTCTATGAACCCTATTATATCTACAACACAGTAAGAATCTACAGAATGACAAACTTTTACAACACTACACTGAGTGCAATTGTTTTATAACATTTCAAATATACAAAGCTCTGTTCTTTTTTATAACAATGGTATGTACAGAATCAATAATCACAGTTTAGTGACTTAAACAGTCCATATTCTAGCAGTGTATTTCCCTTTGGTTTGATATAAAAACCTTGGTTGGTGTAGTGTTAAAGAATATAACAAGAAAAAGATATACCCCTTTCCTTTAAGTGCACTGGTTATCTTACAGCATCAATTCACTTTCAGTCTGCACTGGCAGCATCCTTGGTTGATAATATGCAGCAGGCTGCAATAACATGTAAAATAGTTCTCCAGTGCTCCTGACAGACCAACTTAACATCCTAAAATGTTATTTTAAGAAGCCGTGTGGGAGGTTTAAGTTTTTTTTAATTTGTAATTTAATTTTTTGACTTATTTATTTAGCCAGACGTCCAGAAGGGGAGGGGGTAGGAAGGAAAGGCTGTAACTTTAATTCTATAATATAATATCTTTTAGGAGCTCTTTTTAACTAATGACCAACGAAGAAATTAACTCGGTGTATACTTTAAAAATGTACCAGCCAAGGAGTTACTTATTCAGGAGCTTGTAAATGTTGGGCCACTCATGTGAGTGCTGATGCAAAGGATGCGTGCTTTCTTCAAGTTCCTAACCCGAGAACCTATCCAATGTCTTAGTCGCTGGTCCTCTTTTTCCATTTGGTCTTGTTTCGCGCTAGCTGAGGTGACCTTTATTTATTTATTTTAGCACTTCTCTCTCCATATTCAGCTGTGTGAGCTGAGCTGCGTGTTCTTTTGCTTTCAGCCTCAGAGCTGCTATGCTAGAAGCCCGTCTGTCTGCTGCAGCTGTTGCTGGATCTGATAGCCCACTTGATTGCACTGCACTTTCCACGGCAGGAGTGGGCTGTCTCAGTAGGGCAGCAGCAGTGGAAGCACTAGTCAGGGGAGCCATAGTGGAAAAGAGCCTGCAAGTAAAGTAAACATGTTGGTCAAAACCAAGGCAGCTTCTGTGCGTGTGTCTGTTGCTGGTGTTTTGTCAGAATAAGGTGACCAACGTTGTCATGTCTGTTCCTTCTCCCCCCCCCTTCTTCGCTTTCACTAAGAGTTCTGAGTTCATGTCATAGCTAAGCAGCGAAGTATTATCACTAATGCAGAAAAGACAAAGACGTTGAAAAAAAACCCCTCAACACTGGCAGTCAAAAGATTTAAAAAAGCGGATCTAATTCTCTCAGATTTGCTGGTGACAGCAGCTCACACTAGAGCACACTGTCAGGAGCAGCTGATACTGTGATTTACACTTAACGGGGAGAGGAATTCCAAAATGAAACGCTTTGGGGGACTGTTTTCTCCTTAGCTATCATTTAAAATAGCAAAGCTGAAATTCCTCCGTTATACTGTTCCTTCCCCCGCCCCCCGTGGATTTCTTCCTTTCCCCCTCCCCCCTCCACGCATCATCTTCCTCTTTTAAAGGTTCTGCAGTCTTGATGCCCAAAGTATCTTAACCATTCCTCAGCACTGATATTCCTGTCCATTTCCTCACAGTGGAATGCCAATTATTATCCAGCAACCTAGCATCCAGGCTCAATGACACAATCTTTTAAATGCCTTCCCTCTAGTTTTTCTTACTTCTCTCACCAGAGCAGTCACTCTGAAGAGTGCAAGTGACCCCCTTGACTGGCACATCAAGATGTACAGACTCTCCATTAACCAAGGATGTGATTATTGACATCATCACGGCTAGGAATTGAACTGTGTTCCCTGAAGGCATCAGGGTCTACATACTAAGCCCTAGCATGCTAAGCTCCCATATTGGCTGCTGCAATTTTTTTTTTCTTTCTGAGTCTTTGATGCAGATATTAAGTATTAACATTGGTAAGAATGGAATACATTCCCTTTAAAAGGTCAATAACTGCTCAGTTTAACACAAGCTTTTAAGCTCTTCAGAGTCCCTAATTCTACTGGTAAAAAATCTAGCAATTCTCTATATATCAAAACAATTATAGATTTGATTAGTAGGAGGCAATCCCTGTTGTGGTGAACGTGTTAAAAGGAACCGTTTTAAATCACCTAATACATCCTGAAATGCTACATTTCAAGGTGGATGTGAATTTGCTCTGTCATGCCTATTTTAATCTTATAGCCCATTATCCAGGCTGATGTTAGTAAGCTTTTACAATTCACTTTTCAATTTGTTGTCGGGGAGGGGGGCGGAGGAGAGAGCCGCAGAAGGACTGCTCTAAGGCTACAAGAGAAGTGATAAACTGTGAAATCATCGCTCTAAGCAGGGGGCGTGACAGCGCTGTAACATCACTTGTTCCATTAGGGAAATTGAGTCACTAACTACAATTTGATGCATAAACTGTTTAATTGTGTTGGTTTGTATTAAGAATCTAATTTTACTTCGGGTTTTTTTATTTTCCTCCCGACGATGAGTTGGTTAAAGTGGCTGCTCAGTTGGATGAATCTATTATTTCTTTGTTCTCCTGAACAGAGATCATTGCAGTTACATTTACTTTTATTTTCACTTCTCTCTCCAACTTAATAAATCCTCCCATTGTTTCTCTGTCTTTGTGATTTAACTAGACTTTTTTTAGTTCATCATTTGGTTTTCATTTAAATAAAGGAAGCTATAATATACGCGAATCGTTTCTTTTATTTCAGTGTCTTACACGACTGTTAGATTCAGGTATAAAACACACAAAAGAAAGAGAGCCGGGCATATACTCCAAAAATAATTTTTACGACGAGTCTACTAATTATTTAATGCTTCATCTGTATTGTGTCCCCCTTCCACAAATACTCTAGCGAGGGATGCCAGAGGCAGGGTTCTTTATGGAAACAGAGAATGGTAAGTAAATATAAGAGAATATTTCCAGAGAGCAGATTTTGAATTAGTAGAGTGTGCGTGGTGACAATCTGATTCTAAGAGTTACCCTCATCTAGTCAGGGAACCGCAACGTAACATGTGACCCGTGCGCCCAATCAACACTAACCAACACAGCTCGAATTTCGAATATCAAATAATCCACAATGAACTGCTGGCGAGAGATCTACCAACCCAGAGTCATTATACATCTGTGAATGGTTTTAAATAACTAATACGTTCAAGCAAGTGATAGGCTGTTGCAGGACAATTTGCGAACAGCAGAAGAGGCAAAATTAATCAAGTCACACGCTGCAAATGATTCACCCGGCTCTACCGGGAAGCATCGTTGGCACCAAGGGGACACCAGTTGCACCGCTCCAGGATGAGAAGTGACCTTTCCCTCTAGACCCAGTGCCACCACAGCAACTCTTCCAAACCTTGCTTGTTACTCTTTCATGTCAAGAGAGTTCTACTCACATTCATAGACTTCGCCTGGGACTCTGAGCAGAGCTCATTCGTGAGTCAGGATGGAGCGCGCAGACGTCAAGCGCCAGGAATTCTGCCCCTTTCTCTCGCTTGTCTTTTTTGTGTTTCTTTGCTCTCCCGCCCCCCTCCCCATGAATACTCGGTAGTGTAAATTCAGCTAAGAGGTGCATCACTAATCCAGGCAAGAGACCTGCATTAAGTGCCCACACGCTGGATTCCAGGAGGCAGCTCTGGCTCCCGAAAGCCATGCTCCATGGCACACACGTCCTCCGCCACCCCCTGTACCGTTTCTACCCCGCGTTCGCAAAGGGAAAACGCTGAGCCGCGTGTTACCTGCCAAAAGCAGGGCTGATGAAGGCGGGATGCCGGAATACAGCTGCGCCCAGGAAAGTGCTGAGGCCTAGCGGAGTCCCACTTGGTGGCAAAGTTGCAGAACCAGGTGGAGGAGGTAGACTAGGGAAGGCGGCAGCAGCAGCTGCTGCAGCAGCAGTCCAAGCGGAGTCTAGAGCTGGGTGATGAGGAGGGAAAGGACTAGCATCAAGGTATGGACTGAGTGGGTGAGTTGCTGACAGGGGACCAGGGAAAGGCAAACCTGGGGTGTGCGTCTGAGCCCCAGCCTTTTCCCTCTTCCGCCATTTAGCCCTACGGTTCTGGAACCATACCTAAAAGCCAAAAGAAAATAGATTTTAATATTTCCGTCCTCGTCTCCAAATGTTTTGCCCCAGCAGAAATGACGCATTGTCGGGACAGGCCTGGAGCATTTCTGCTGCGAAACCCTCAGTGGGCAGGAAGTCAGATCCAGATAGGATTTTAGACTACAAATGGCAGTAGTTCTAGGTAGCTATTGGAGGGGAGGGGGAAAACGTTGTGGTTATTACATGAAATAATAAATGGCCCGGGCTGGTCAAATAACTCGCACATTAAGACAGGATTAAACAAACCCTGAAGTGGGCGGTGCATGGTTACCTTTCATGAAAGCGTTTTTATCACTTTCTCCTGGTTTATATATTTACCCTGCTGGTAAAGTGATTGCCTCTTTGAAAGAAAGTATGAGGCTGAGGTGGAGCTGACCCGTTAAGCCTTTTATCCTTAGTAGGGTTGCTCATGCCATATACTATATATAAATACTGAATCGTCTCCGGCTTTCCATTTCACAGGTATAAATAAGCGCACATGTGTGTACTGAATTCTCTGACTGTACGTAACATTTAACACACAGCATAATGATTCCCTGAAAATATGTGCAACATTCGGAAGTTTCTTTCTAAGCTAACATGTATCCATTTTCCAGAGGCATCCTACTGGTTTGAGTGGAGAGTAAAGCGTTTTAATTTAAATACTTGACAGCATGGTGGTGGTTTTGGCAGCATACAATAATGCTTTCTTTTATGGGCATTTTAACTGAAACATTACTGCTGTAGTCAAATGTTCTAAAAATTAATTCCCACCAGAACTCAATTATTTTTATGAGGTGATCTATACACACACCCACACTAAGATCTGCATGGCATCTTTCACTGAAGTTAATATTTACAAATCATTTGAGGCTCATTCATCTTTTTAAAGATTAAAGGATTTAAAAAATCGGGACTGCAAGTAAAATGAAATATTTTTTAAAAATCGCAAAGCTATTGAAATAATCAGATGTATGCCCCAGCTCTGCTCTTAAGATTTAGTTTACATGACTTTGTTAGCCAACCACGGAATTGCAACCTCACCCTAAACACTCGTTAATCTATGTGTGTTTGTTCTTTGAAACAGGCGAGATTTATAAAACATCCCACTTTAACGGAAAATGTTCACTTAATATCAAAGTATAACTATCACACCTCAAAGGAGAGCTTGAAAGAGACATAATCTGTTAATTTTGTGAAGCGGTGGGAGTTGAATTTTCGCCTTTAAATATAGCTCACGTTTGGCAGATCATTATGAAATCTCATCTCTGCTGCAGCTAAACGAATAAAGGCAGCACTGCTATGTGTAGACGTAAATACGAAGAGACATAATGTTCTTAAAGGGGAGCCAAAAATCTTCTACAGGCGGATCGTCTCTTCCAACTAAAACTCAATTAGCACGCTGTCCCCACTGCAATTCCCCATTATTGAATTAATAAGTCTGAGTACACCCAAAAGGTAAACGAAGGGACTCTCATAATTCATATTCCCTTAATTACATCTTCTCCTGTGAATAGGGGGAGAGAGAAAGGGGGTGTCTTTCTTTTAAAAAGTTATTTAACTTTCCCACGACTTGTTCCCCTGAGCTGAAAATACTGATTTGCTGTCACATCTCTGTTTGACAATGGAGAAATGTGTCAACAGAAAGGAGGGGACAAATCTCATCATTAGCCCCTCTAATGCAAGAAGCTGTTGTGTATTAAATGAGCCATATGGAATTTATTATGCTTTATCAGCGCCTGATTTTAACTGTAAAGTGATTTGCTCAGCTTCAGACTCAGAGACATCTGTTTTCTGTTGGCAATCAGGGCATCCCAATGTTTATCGTCTCTTTGGTTATGAGGCTTGGGTTAGGAAATGCACTCTGGTATGGGGCTGCAAACACCTTTAATAGCATTGCACTCACTCACTATTAGATCAATGCGGGCTTATTGCTATCAAAAATGGGAAATCAAATAGCATTAGCCAGCTCCTTGTGCAGGCGGAGAGGAAATCAAACAACATCTCGCCTTCAAATGGCCCTGTTTGTTCTAGCACTAAGTGAGCTTTTATGAAGCCCGATTGGAGATTTAATCACGGCCAAATACCTGCTCGGAGCAGAGCGGGTTTGTCTAACAACCAAAACCCCGCGTGGCCGGGCGATTTTAATCAAAGTGAGTTTCGCCTGCTGGGTATCGGGGTCGGGTGGGAGAGGGGCGATTGCTCGCCTCCGGTCTTTCCCCTTCCCAGCACACTGTCCCTGCGGGCCATCCCCCCCCCCCAAACGATCGACAAAGGCACCCCGGTTCCAACCCACCTGCTCAGAGCTGCTCACAGTCCCAGCGGGCGCGGCTGGGCTGGCCTGGCAGGGCCCCGAGGGCACCCCCGGCACTCGGCCCGGGGGTAAGGGAGGGAAAACCGCAGCCCCCTGTTTACCCGGCTCAGCTCTCGTCCGGACTCACCTGCACTCGGGCTTCGGTCAGATCCAGCCGCATGGCCAGTTCTTCCCTGAGAGGGAAACAAGCACACAGACACACCGCGCCGTCAGACTCCCCTCGGGGGCGCAGGGCAGCAGGGGCCGCGCTGCTCCGTCCCCAGGCTGCGGGGCAGGGGTCCCGAGCTCCGGGGCACGTGAACGGCAGGCGGATCGGGCCCCCAGGCGTGCGCTTGGGCTGCGCGCAAACACAGCGCATCCGCCGCAAGCAGGCCAGGACCCGGGTGCAGCCCGAGCCCAGTGCCCAAAGAGTCACATTCTGCTCAGCGAAACTCCGCGGAGGCGGAAATCAGCGCGTAGTTTGGCTCCCACCCCGTCGGCCCGGGCAGCAGCAGTAAATGTGCTGCTCGGGCGTGTTTCCCCTCCGCAAGCCAGCAGGAGCTGCGAGAGGCTAAAGGGGGCGAAGTCCCCCCCGGGTCAGGCCATCCGCAATTATCTTCCGCTGTCACCTTCGAGCCGGGCGCGGGCTTCGCAGTGCAGCGCGCTTTAAAAGCAATGAGTGTAAACCCCACGAGCCGCGTGGTGTTTCCAGGGCCCACCGCAAAGGCTGCACAGCGCAGGGGGAGTCAATTGAGCTGAAACCCTACCCCTTCATTGCAGTTATTATTGCAATAATTAAGGCAAATCGGAAACCATTAAGATGTTATAAAACGGCTCATAATCTGTTTACCTCAAATATGAGAGCTCGGAGCATAATTGGATCTCCCTCCGCTAAAAAGAAAAGAGCTGGGCTGGCCAAGGGACCCCGGGCTGCAAAGAGGCTGCTCGCTTTCAGAGCCCTCAGCCTCACCTGCAACTTTCAAAGCCTCCAGCCCGAGGGAAGCCAAACCCCAGCCGCCTTCCCTTTCGCTCCGTAGCAAGCGCTTGCCATTGTCACCCAAGGCTCCGAGCCGGCTGAGAGCTTTTCGTTTAACTGGGCAGCCAGGGAAAAGGCTCAGGAAGCGCAGGGGCAAGAACAACAATAATAAAACCGGCCTGTTGGATTTTTTTCCAGAAGATTGTAGCTAAAATTGGCCGCTCTGGAGCGCAGCTCTGCAGCACTGAGGCAGCGCAAAACCCCTTGGAAGGCCGGGGACTGTTAAAAATATGAACCCTTGTGTCTTCCGCGGAAAGAGATTCGCTGCTGTCTGGAGACAGCAGAAATCTGTCAGATGCAGCGGAGCGTAAGTTGCCCTCCGGGTACCACAGTTAAGTCCCCATTTAAGCGCCTCTGCGCAGCGCTGTTTTATTTGTTCAAAAGGGGGATTGATTTTCCTTCTGTTAGCCAGAGAGGTGCGTGTATGACAGCTCATCTCTGAAATTGGCGGTCTGGCTGTGTTTGAGCGCTCTACAGGGATGACTCTCTCGCTCCCTATTTTGCTCTCCCCTTTTGACACTGTGTCCTCGGGATCTGGCTTCAGGAAAAACCCTCACGTTGTGTAAAATCAAGCGAGTTTCTGGGGGGATTGATTTTCCTTCTGTTAGCCAGAGAGGTGCGTGTATGACAGCTCATCTCTGAAATTGGCGGTCTGGCTGTGTTTGAGCGCTCTACAGGGATGACTCTCTCGCTCCCTATTTTGCTCTCCCCTTTTGACACTGTGTCCTCGGGATCTGGCTTCAGGAAAAACCCTCACGTTGTGTAAAATCAAGCGAGTTTCTGGGGTGGCGAGAATGTGTGAAAAGGAGGAGAGCGGGAAAGGGCCCGTCAGAACTGTAAACAAACAAGGTTACGCTTATTTCTACTCGACAATTCCTCTCCGCGTTTCTGGGCAAGGGCGGTAAATGAGCTGCAGACAAATAGTATAAGCGATATCAACAGCCCCTGTTATGAAAACGAGAACACCCCCTAGCCCTCCTGTGACTCCGATCTAAGTGTGTATCTCTCTACACGTCTCCAGATGCAGAGGTTAAACGCGGCGCACGCAGTATTTTAGCGGAGCTAGTATCTAGTTAAACATTCTTAGAATCCAAAGCTGGAATACTTTGATCTTTTCCCCCCACAGGACTTCCCTGGGCAGGGCAGGGTTCCAGCTTGCACTGGGAAATGCGTAACTGATATCCAGCAAGCTTGTTGGTGGCTCATATGGGTCAGGGCAGGGGATAAAAATAGAACATGATGTGGCTTAGCCAGGGGCTGGGGAACCGCTACCTGGCCTTGTCTAATTAACACTGCAGGGAAGACAAACTAATCGCAGAAGTTTCTCTCCTGTACTGGGCTTTCCTCTCCCCCTTCTTCTCCCACTACAGAGCAGCAATTTCAGTGGCTCTCGATCTGATTAAAGTGGTGGTGGGGGGGGGGGGGGGGGCCGCCTCCCC